TGTTGCTCCAAACTCGTCATTCTGCACAGGTCACACTAAAAAGGCCATAACTTGTGTTATACACCTCGGATTGCTACGGTTTTTATCTCGTTTTAAAGCTTAAAAACAGGGCTACAACTTTGATGTTTCGGTCTCAGCCCAGTTAAATCTTTACATGCCCAAAAATCACTTAGAAAGTCACGGTAGTGACAGGGCAGATTTCACTTAGGCTTTCATCAAACAACTCATGTGCATATAAAAACTCCTTCTCTAACTACAACTCTATTTCTCTCTTAACCATCCAAAATTGGAAGTAAATTCCCTTCCAGGTATAATCCCTACCATAGAAAAACACCTCCCAAATATGTACCAATCTCCTCCACTTCATCTCAAACTATTACTCATAACACCTTCCCATAAAGGAAATATCCAACAAACACAATATAAATACTCTTCTCAACTCAATTTCTCAACAGTAGACAATATCTCTACTCAATTTTCTCAACAAGCATCATATTACATGCATAAATAAATCTCTACTTAAGAATTTCTTAAACTTTAGCTTGAGTTGGATTTACTTACCTCATACTTGAGTATTCTCCCCTAAAGCTCTCTACTCTTGTTGGATCATAGCTTTCCCTTATTTCCTAAGCATAAACTTAGTAAGAACTTAACCCACATAAATAAAACTCATTTCTAGTAGGGATTCTTAACTCTTCTTGCTTAGGATCACTTCTTTTCAAAATCCAACTCAAACTCTCAAAAATCCCTTAGAAAATTGAGTGAGAAATTGAGAGAAAATGGGAGATGAAGAGGCGGTGGCAATGGGTAAAAAAATGATGGTTTAGAGAATTCAACCCTATTAGCTCGTATAATATCCACTCTTTCCCATTTTGCCCTTACTCTTTCTTGAAATTTCCACCTTTATCCTTTAATTCTTTACACTCACCCCCATTTTACACTATTCTCCATGAAATTTCCTTACATTTACTCCCCACTTTTCCTGCTAATTAGATAGAAAGGTCTTTTACCCCTATGGAAATTCTCTAGAACTTCAAGGAACTTTTCTGCTGCTCGTCGCTGCGGCGAAGAACTTTCTGTCGCCCCGGCGAAACATTCCAGAACCAACACCGCCAACACGAACCAAAGTCGCCGCGGCGAAGCTTCTCCCTCACCCCGGCGAAGACTGAAACTCCAAAATTTGCTAAGTCTTGATCAATTCCATGGTAAACACTCAACCAAACCCAAAACATAAACTCAACCAAAGCCAACCAAAAACACATGAACAATATACAAACTCATTTAGGGGCACTTCATTATCCTTTAGGCCATACCTTAAACAGTGGCTACGTATTTCAAGTGGGTGTTACACTACAATTGATAACCCTAGGGTTGATGAAACTTACATTTATTATGTTAATTTGAGTGCGATGCTATGTTTTGGTTATGGATGGTGTAAATGTGTGTGTTGATTGGTGTATGTGTGCATATGGAGGATGATTATGCCAATTAAGAGATTTGTAGTTATACGATGTTTTTGGCACTTTTTGAGTTTCTATAAAAAGGGAGGTCTTTTATGGCCTTTTATGCTTAGAATGATATGGCAAATACTACGAATGTGCAAATGAAGGTGACATGTTTAAAAATGAATAGAATTCGGATTTGGCTATTTAAGACTTATACTGTACATGCTTCACTAAATTGGTCATAACTGAAGTTATACAAGTCTGATTGAGCTAATTCTTGAAATATTAAAAAGTTGATAAATATACTAAAACTTTTATGTTTTAGCCAAAAATTAATTCGAATTGGAAGATGAGGAAAACATTGCTTGAAAAGTGAGGAACAATAGGGCATCCACCTCCTTAATAGAAATTCCCATCTTTTTTTTTTTTTTCTATAAATTCTATTAATCCACTGAATAGTCTTACTGTTTAAATTCATTGTGTTGTATGAGAAATTGAATGAATTTGATAGGAGAATATTTATGTCATGGAGTTTTGCTAAATTGATTGATGAGTTGTGTAATTGGCCAAGGTTACATGTTAAATGAATGAATAGTATGATTGAGCATGGGAGATGTTATCCCATATGTTTCCATACATAATGGTAATGCATATAGCTTATTTAGTTGACTCATGAACGAATTATGAACGAATTTATGAAATGTTAAAGAATGAATTCCATGAGGCTGTTGAGGTATAAACCTAGATCAGAGGAATGGAATCTTTGTGGGAACCATGAGTCCTTTAAGGTGATGCCCAAGGACAAGGTAATGGTTCAAATGAATCCGATCGGATAATAAAGACAATGAAAACATCAAGTATAAAGACAAAATAAATAAGCGTGCCATGTTTATGAATATTGCATAAGTCATATATGTTCTATGTTATATTATGATGGTTATGTTATGACTTATGTTTATGAGTAAAGTTCAAAGTGTATGACATGTTTTATGAATTTGTTAATGTCAATGAATGAAGGTCATGTCTTGTAGATAGGTAAGGTCTTGAGTAATATACTTGTATAATGAACCTTAATAGTTTATAAATGGCCGTATTCCCTTACTAAGCAATTAGCGCTCACCCCATGAAATGTTTTAAAATGTTTTGTAGGTAAGGATTAAGGCATGAAGCTGGGAAAGGATTCCGAGGGACGCTATGAACATGAAGGGATGTTTTAATATGACTATTGAATGGTTTTGTCAGTATTTACTGTAGTAATCATGTTCATATCTCATAATGTAGTAAATATGTCTATGTTCTATAATAGAGTATATATGTTTGTGTTAATAAAGGAAATCAAATTGCTACTAAAATTTGTAAAAGTGTGTATGTTCTAGTGATTATTACTATGGATTTCATAATTTACTCCAAGAAAGGAAACTATATTATTTGACTTGTACAATGAACTTATTATAGTTTAAAAATTAAAAAAAAATGTTTTTAAACTACAGGTTTATTCTTTAAATAGGATTTTAAAATAAACTTCTTCCTAGGCGTGCGTTTTTTAGGTTCTCAATGGCCAGGGGATACTTAGGAAATACCCAGCTAGGGAGGGGTTTTATAGTTTTGCATTTTCTCTCCACAAGTCTCTTGGACTCACCACTTCATTATATACAAGAATAGTTACAAAAAGTTATCTTAACTGTCTTCCGGTAGCCCATGTTGATGCTTCATCCAAGCAATCATTCCACTCTTTATCATCATCCAGCAATCCTAATGCATAACATGCATTTTTGAATGTACTGAATATTTCTCTGTTGACAGTTCGAATATCTTTAAATGATGTTGCTCCTCTTACTAAGTTTAGAAGCATTCACAAATAATATTTCTCACCGCTACCTGGAAATGCAAAATACACCCTACCAATACACCTTGATTTTTTTCGTGGGGACCATTTTCTTTCTGTATCCTTCCAAACCCATTTGCTTGGAAAATTAGGATAAGTCAATGATCTTGCAAATGTGTATGTTGATTACACTTCATCCATTCAGTCAATTTCATTTGTGTAACAACCTTGCTTTCCAAAAGTTTAACCAAACACTTATTTGGATCGAAAATAACTGTTTGTTCATTCTCTAAGTGGAATAGCAATCTTTCGACAACCGGTTCTCTATAATACATGTCAAACTGAAATATTCTCCAGCAAGCTTCCATATAAGAGATATATCTGTAATGTTTTCAATTGAATCAATTAATGTTATATTTATAACAAACATGAACAAACAATATAAAAACATTATATTTGATATATTTTGTACATACCTGCAGACCAGATATGCCTTTATTTCATCTTTGTTCTATAAAATCTCGTATTGATTGTTCTGTTGACCACTGTTATCAACTTCCATAGAAACTCTCGTTCTGTCCGATCCTTTGTTGACATACTTGAATAGATATTTGATTGATCTATGCTGATTGCATATTTCAATATTTATGTGAGCATCAAACTTAACCAAAAGATTCCTATTATAAGAAACAACAAAACGGTTATCCAGTTTGATTCCCTTTTTCTCAACAAATGCTCTATTATTCTGTCTTCTATACATTGGATATCCATTTTCATCCACACATGTTTCACTGACAAATTTCTTTGGAAAATGTTTTTTTATATTTTCCTCTCTCCATACATGGTGAATTCTTGTTAACATCACCGCATGGACCGTGAATCATGTGATTCTCGATAGCTGCAAAGGCAACAAGATCAATTTCCTTATGTGGTATTTTAGCAAAAACTATTTCATCTATTTTGGATGCTGAAGGATTCTTATATTCGGAATGTAGAAAAACCAATATATGGGCATGTGGGAGACCTCTCTTTTGGAACTCGATAGTGTAGATAACTGACAGAAACAATTATAACGTGTTCAACAACAGTTCATATAATATAATTTCATATCATAAATTATCAATGAATTAGATTTTTTTAAAGAAGATAGAAATATTATTCATTGGATTACTTACTTGCTACTGTTTCACCAAAATATTCACCTTGTTTTATCTCTCACATTAGCTCAAGCAATTTGATCTCAAAAACTCTGCAAACTATAGTTACTCTACTTTCTTGATCACATTCTCCAATACAATTCTGTAGATATTGTATCTCTAGCCACTTGGGATTACAGGTGAAGGTAAAAAAAAATCTGGATATCCAAAACATCTGTAAATCGCCATTGCATCTTGATAATTCTGAACAAGATATTAGGGACTACCAGTATGAGACGAAGGGAGAAACGTAGATTTCCCTAGATGTTGTGCATTAACATCATGTTTTGAAATGGCATCCATCAACCTGCTGTACAGATCGCTCCTAAATTTTTTCTGATTGTTTCTAATCCATAATCCAATGAAATCTTTGCTCTTCAATAGCCATATATGCATCCACAATATATTGCTGTAATAATCAACCTGATCTCATCAGAATATGCCCTTCATGTAATCTATACTGCAACCGAAATGCATAATATTCTCTCATGGTCATCCTGTTTCTCTTTGAAGACTTTTTGTCAAGTGACTCTTTACGGTTAATGTCAATTATGTATCCATTTTCTCCATATGGGAATAATATTGGATAACTTAATGCCATAAAGCTTGGATGCAAGTCAAAAATTCTTTGAAGACCATTTTTTGAATGATGAACAATGATATCTTTTGCAGCTTCTAAAATTCCAATATCACCAATAATTAAACTCGCAATTTCAGATGCAGTTGGTAAATTGTATTGTCTTCCATCTTTTTCCCTTTTCATTTTCAACCACAAATGCATATTTCTAATAACATTCCAATGCATATGGTCCCTGACAGAATAAAAACTCTTAACCAATTCATTGTTCGCATCAAACATCAATTGCAATTCTTGCACTAATTCCCTATCAACAGTATCATCGACTCTATTATCTCGTATAGAATTTAATCTATGATTGGTTTCATACTCTGTGTCATAAATATAAAGTTGTGCAAACTGAGGTTTCCTTCCTTCAAGTGGAAGTAATGATCCTATTCGGTGGTAATTCTGTCCGCAAAGTTTGAAAACATATGGACCACCACCTTGGTTAATCTCATGGTCAACATGCCCTCCCATCGATGTAAATGAGAACAATGAATTGTATATTCTTATTTTGCTTCTAAAACTAATCCCCTTATTACCAGTGCCCACATCTAGTAAACTTTTTAATGGTTCTGGCGACTTTTTCAATAATGGTAACTGAACTTTGCCATCCATACAACATAATGAAAACAAAAGGGATGGCTGGTTCTTGGTTTTTAACAGTTCGCTCTTCGTACCACATGACTGATCCACAATGAATGCACTTGTAGGATGGTTTACCAAAGTTCCAAGAGTCTTTTTCCACTGTGCAAAGAAATAATGTAATATTTTAGAAAGTAATAAAGTTAATACTTACATGTATCCTGTTAATTTGGAAACTTACAATGACATATATTTTTTTTCCAAGTAACTTTAATATTTGAGTCACAAATTAAGTATGTCTAACTAACAAATGACATTTGTTACCTCTTTCTGTTGAGCGAGATTTTGAAACTCTATTTGTCTCTAATAAAGATTTCTTTTGTTTTTTCAATCTTTGACCTGGAAATGAAAATAAAAAAAAAAGATCGTCACAATATTCAACAACACTTGCAATGCTATAAATGGGTCGGCAAAGTTCCACACCTTTATTTTTACAATATAATGAAATAACATTATGTTTTAAAAATATAACAAATTGAATGTTTAAATGTATGTTGTTAGATTCAAAACTCATGATTGTGTTGTTCTGCTTAAGTAATTCAAATATTAGAATCCGGATCTGCACATGGAGAAGCAACTGAAAAACATAGATTTAGTCATCCAATGTAATTTATCATAATCTAAAAAACATAGATAACCATTAATATTATATTTTTTACCTCTTTGCCTTTTTAATTTAGACATCTTCTCTGTTCTATTTTCCTCGCATAACTCATTTACATTTACAAAAGCATTTGAAGAACTTGTTGAACCCCTCTCTATGTTTGGTACACATTGTTTTTGTTTTTTAGATCTCACCTGAGTTTTAAAATAATAATATTAGAATGAATACTATACCATGCAACAAATTATATAATAGAAGAGCTTAACCAAAAGGCAAAAACAATAATTAAATATCTCATTGATATTTATATAAGTATTTAAAAAAATTATTATTACATTTGTCACCTCTTTTTGTTGAGCGAGATGATGAACCTCCATTTGTCTCTGATAAAGATTTCTTTTGTTTTTTCAATGTCTGACCTAGGAATGAAAATAATAAAAAAAAGGTCATGACAATATTCAAAAACAGTTGCAACGTAAAAAATAGATCGGCAAAGGTCGACACCTTTATTTTTACAATGTAATGAAATAACATTACTTTTTTAAAATATAACAAACTGAATGTTTGAATGTATGTTGTCAGATTCAAAACACAAGATTGTATTGTCCTGCATTAGTAATTAGAATATTAGAATCAAGATCTGTAGATAGAGAAGCAACTGAAAAACATAGATTTAGTCAGCTAGTTTAACTTGTCATAATCTAAAGACATAGGTAACTACTAATACAATATTTTTTACCTCTCTTTCTTTTTAATTTAGACATCCTCCCCGTTCTATTTTCATCTCGTAAACCCTATTGGGAGTGGGGCCAAAACCTACAATTACAACACACCAATATGACATACATATCTTAATGGAAAATCAACTAATACATAACTTAATGGAAAAAAAACTAAGGCATGAGAAAAGTGTGGAGAGGAAGAGGGCATACAGGAACGTGAGAGTCACAGGCGCTTCTCTTGGGGTCAGTGGCGGAGAAGACAGTGTAGACAAGCCAAAGGTGCCAATAATTTCAGCACCCAAAGCCGTGCCCTTGCTGTAGCCGGGAGCTACGGTGTTTGCACCGCCGCCAAGAGAGTTGTATTCATGCTTCATGAAAGCCTTCACCAACCCAACACCGCAAATGGCTCCCAAACACTGAGCGATTATGTAGGCCAAAGCCCTGATTAGAGACACCTTCCTGGCCAAGAACAACCCAAATGTAACTGCAGGGTTAATGTGACCACCTGAAACAAAAACAAAAAAAACCCCCATTAAAAAAAAAAAAAAAATCTTTAGCCTTTAAAGAAAAACCCAGATGGGTTCTTACCAGAAATACCAGCAGTGCAGTAAACAAGAACGAAGATCATGCCACCAAAGGCCCATGCAATACCCAAAAGGCCAACTCCATCACATGCGTCATGTTGTTTCTTGTGGCCGATAACGGTGGCAACGGTAACGTAAAGGAAGAGGAGAGTGGCGACAAACTCAGCTATAAGAGCTCTGTAGAAAGACCAGAGCTTGATCTCACCAAGGTCAAGGAGAGGAGCTGGTGGTGGATTCACATAGTCCTTTCGATGGTGAGTTTGGCCTTCTTCACTGACTTCCTTAGACATTTTTCTCTTTTATTATTTTCTGGTTTCTAGGTAATCTCTACAGAAGGAAGAACTGTAGGAAGCTTTCTTCTTTCTCTTAGGAGGTGTATCTGTATGTGCGTCTTGCTCTAAGCTCACTCTTTTTAAAGCAGGATGAAGGTCTATTTATGGGTAAGCCAAGGAGATTGTTGGAATAAAAGTATTATTTTATTAATTTAAAAGAAAAAAGGTTGTTGGAAAATGAAAGTGACAACATATTTTTGTTTCTTGGATTGTAATATTAATATCTCTTTTTAGAGTAGCTTTAAAGGCTCAAAACTTACAGAATTTGAGTAAAAGTCTTATCAAAATTTGATGTAAAAGATGATAATCATCTCAATCTTTTTAACTTACAGTATAGAAGAAGATAACACACACTGTTTAAGTTTAGGGTTTATCAAAATTTCATGTAAAAATGGAAATGCTGTAAAAGAAAAGAGTGGAGGGATGGGACCAAGAGAAAGGGGAAGAATACAGCGAGACCATGTGAGAGCTAATCATCTTCAAAATGTCAGCCTGGCAACCAACTATTCATACTCACTCACAGAATACAACCGTTATATCCTGTCTTTTCTCGCTCATCTCTCTTAACTTTTTCTTTTTTCCGGCAATATATATATATATATATATGTGTGTGTGTGTGTGTGTGTGTGTGTGTGTTGATGGGTGATTTTTACACCAACTAATCGACACGTATGTAACGTTGATTGGTCAAGAGACACACGTGATTATGGATAGAAAATGCGAAATGAATGCAATGAAGGCTTTTTAAAGTGGTTCGGATACTAAGGTAGCAAGTCCTACGTCCACTGATTTGTATTAGTAATGTGGGTCAGGTCGCAGCAGCGGACTGACTTACAAATGATATATATATATGTGTGTGTGTGTGTGTGTGTGTGTGTGTGTGTGTGTGTTGATGGGTGATTCTTACACCAACTAATCGACACGTATGTAACGTTGATTGGTCAAGAGACACACGTGATTATGGATAGAAAATGCGAAATGAATGCAATGAAGGCTTTTTAAAGTGGTTTGGATGCTAAGGTAGCAAGTCCTACGTCCACTGATTTGTATTAGTAATGTGGGTCAGGTCGCAGCAGTGGACTGACTTACAAATGATTAGGAAAAGTAAATACAAAGTTCTGCAAGAGAGAGAGAGAGAGAGAGAGAGAGTGTGTGTGTGTTCAAGTGTAAAAATGGTCGAATCCCCTTAATAAAGGGGTTTCCTTCTTTTTATATCAAGCTGAAGGCGTGTAATCATGATTAAATCCATGGGTTGGTGTGAGTGTCAGGACATAATCCGGCTTTACGTCCCATTGCCCTCTTTCCAAGCTGATTTCACACGATTTATTGCAAGGAAATGGACACGTGGGAGCTCCATATCGTTTGGCAGGCCTGACGTGCGCTTATTATTCTGACGGGAGCAGGTCACTCTTCATCACGTGACTTTCCACGTCAGCCCTTGCTTTCCCAGGCATAACAATATATATATTCTCCACCTGTGTTTTCTGTTTGTCTCTCTCTCTGTCTGATTAGTTCTATCTCCATCTCCTTCGCTTTATCATATTTAATCATACATCCTTTCCAGTTTGTTTTAGTTGGGTTCTCAATGAATTAATGATATGTATATATACGGTAATTAATCTTTATTTAAAAACAAAGAATGTGACGAGGTTAATTATCATTCATTGTGCCACGCTCCCATGCATGCATACAAACAGTTTATTTATTTATTTTTTTTTTTTTACCAATGGTGTTTTAGTCATTTACGCATAGTTTAATTAATCTTTCGGAACATTTGAATTACCGATCCAATAGAAACTTTAGTGACTATCGGTCGAATAGCAATCGAAGAGAGATTCAAACTTAGGACCTCTTTAATAATACATCTAAGAATCTTTATCGAACAATTCGACCATCTAGAGATAGTTTGCAAAATACATTAACATTACAAAATAAATTTAAACCAAAAAGGGTCCCCCTACCTAACCCATATACCACTAATTATGCAAACAATTTATTAATGCCCACTCTATTCCATTTCCTTAATTACTCTCCCTTCGATTATTTTTCATGTTGCACATTTATTATTATTTTTAATTACTTTCATTTTTACCACATATTATCGGTCATTGCTCTAATCCAATCATTGTTGTAAAAGTATTTATAATAAACGTATAAAGATTTAATCTCAGTTTCAAATATTGAAATACATAATGATGAAATCAAAATTGGAGAAAAAGTTAAAAGTATGAGAAGATTTGATGATATGAAGAAGAAAAATAATAGAGTTACCAAAAAGTGTATACCGAAATTGTGCACCAAATGACGTAACAAAATCATGATCGTTGATTAATATTAACTTATAATGAATCAACGGTCAGGATTTTATCATATCATTCGGTACATAAATTCGGTGCACACTCGTCGATAACTGTAGCATTACTCTATGAAGAAAGTGAGTGAGATTGACAGTTGTTCATTCCAATTCTGTTTTTTTAGTTTAATTGAATTGGCTTTATCCCTTCAACGGTACAATTCATTCAATTACTTTGTAACCAATATTCATTTTCTTATGTTTTTGGCACCTTCCTGTCTTTTTGTTTAACATTAAATATATAAATTCCTATTTTATCTAAAATCACTCGCTAAAGGAAATTCAATAATCTCTTTAATTTAACCTTAAAAATATATATTAACCTTTTAACAATTAAATTTAAGTGACTAATAAATATATTTACCTTCGAATTTAAGCAAAATAATATAACGAGCTGCTAATCAATCAAGGATCACGTGGATTCCAGCTGGAAAAAGCGTCACGTTTGCTGCTGTCGCACTCGCATCAACCATCACTTCCCCGCCTCATCTTTATCCGATGCATGTCCACATCAATGTCCCCACAGGTCAGCTCTATCTTGTGGACCCATAGGCCACTTGTTTCGCTACTTATCGCGAAATATCGGTTTCTGTTATGTTAAGAAAACTGTGGATTAGAAGTGAAACATTTGGGCCAGGTTAGGTAGGTTAACTCTAACTTGACCCGGTAAAAAACGGGTTGAACCCGGTAGTAACCCTCGGATGGATCGGGTTACATAATGACAATCCATAATCCAGCGGGTTACTATTTTGTCTCTTTTGTAAGAGACCCGTCAACCCGTCGGGTTGGCTATTGTCAACTCGGCGGATTGGCCCAAAAAAATAAAAATAAAATATTTTATTTTATTTTTCAAATTGCCCCTTTACCCTTGAAATATAGCCGTTGGAGGTGTGTTTTTCGTCATTTTTCTTTCCCATTTTTTCCTATAAATTGGCCCTAAACTCTCACATTTTTCTCACAACTCAAATTCTCTCATATTCTCTCATCTCTAATCTCTCAATTATTCATTTATTCTCTTAATCTCTTTGTTATCTTTGCTCGTACTTTATTTTTTATTAGTTTTTACAATTTTTAATTCATATTTCCAATTTTTCAAATTCCAAATTCCATATTCCAATTCTCTTTCTTTAATTTTTATTTCTTCTACATCAAATTTTTTTTTTTCAACTACAATGGATAGATATTTCTCTCCCATCAATTACAATAATGAAGGAAAATACTATCCTAGTCCTAGTCCCGCTGATTTTACAAACATAAATGCAGGAGGATATTCAAATAGTCCCGCTTTCCCATTCTCAGAATCCGATACACCTCAAAATATTCCCTCGATTCCANAAGAAAAAAATCATCAAACATTACTTTCATAGCAAGCTTCTGTCAAACGGGTCGGCTTGCCTCACTTGTTTTTTCTCCATACAAGGCCTAGCAAATATTGTAAATTGAAGGAATACTTTTTAGTAATCAGAGTAGAAAAATGCTATCCTTACAAAGACCCATACAAAGAGGGCTACAAAGTGATGTTAGCAAGAAGAAAAAAACAAAGAAAAAACAGAACAAGAGAGAGAGGGAGAAATAATGAAAATCAAGTGTGGGGATTATCTTTGTATGCCCCCTTTGTATTTGTCTTTGTAAAACTAGCATTGCTCAACAGAGTAAACCTCTTTAAAAACAGGCAACCTACTCGTCTTTACTTTGCCGTAAAGAACATCATTGATTTCTACATCTAAATCCTTCTTCTTCTTCTCATTCTTGGGCATCCCTACTATTTTATCCATTCGTGGAGACCACTTTGCTCTTTCGCTATCTTTATCCTTATTTGTTGTTATGCTACTCTTCGTTTGCTCCACCATTGTTGCTTTGCTTGATACTATGATATACTCATCAAATATAAACAACAAATTACTAGGGTTTTCATTTGCAAATAAGCGATGATAAAACTTAAAAAAAAAAAAAAAAAGAATTGAAATTGTTTTTTTTGCAAAGTTACCTTGCTTACAAGTTGCTTGAATAAAGGGTTTATGTCCACTTTAACTAAAGGGGCTTTGTTGGATTTGATATCGAGATTTTGTAAGAGTTCAACAGGGAAACTAAAACTCTTTAATTAATNGCTTGTATAAAATCAAATATGTCTCCTAGAACTTTTGCATTAGACATACCTGTTAGATGGAATAGTACTTATTTAATGCTTGATTCATGTTTACCTTATGCTAATATAATTAGTTATTTTGTAGCAAATAATAGGGGTCTTCATTATTTGGTACAAAATGATTGGCAAATAACTAAAGTATTTCATTATTTTCTTAAAATTTTTTACCAATCCACTTTACAACTTTCTGGTGTGTATTATCCTACTAGTCCATTAGTAATATATACAATTATAAAAATTTCTGAGTTATTTATAAAAAACAAAGACAATGTAATTTTAAATGCACCAACAAAGGCAACGTAAACTTTTTTTTTTTAAATATTGGGAACCCATTCATTTTCTTTATTGTTTAGGTGCTATATTTGATCCTAAAATTAAATTAGCAAGTTTAGAAAATGGTTTTGACAATTTATGGGAAAATTTACAAACTGAAGTATATGCCAATCAAATAGGAGAGTAAAAAATACACTTTTCGAAGTATATTTCCAGTATGAAAACAGGTATGGGAACCCGCAAAGAGGCGAAACATCCAGGGAAGCTGCATGAGAATATGCAAATGAAGACTTCTACTCTTGGAGTGCACTA